GCATAGCTAGCTCTGGGAAAGAGCCAGCAACCTGTGTGAGGGGCCTTAGAGCCTGCTCCTCCTACTAGGAGTAGAGCGGTGACCACAGATGTGGCCTTCCACAAGGAGGGAGTGTGGAACAGGGCCAGAGACAGTGAAGGGCCAGCATAGCTCAAGCACACATCCTGGGCAGAGTTGTAACATGAGGGCCTCCTCATTCCCAAGAGTGTGGTGAGCAAAGTTATGGATCAATGGCCCACCTGAGAACCACAGGGGTTGTGTCTAAAAGTGATGAGACCCAAGCCACATTCTGGATCAACAGAATCAGAATCTTAGGGGTGAGGTTCAGGCCCCAGGTATCAGAATATTTTAAAGACATCTCAGGTGATTCAAATGTGACCCACAGGAAGAGCAACTGGAGTCATGCTGTCAGATATGGTGGCTATTTAAGTTTAAATTAATTAAAATAAATCAAAATAGTCATCTAGTTCCTCGGTTGCACTGGTCATGTTTCCAGGGCCCAGTAGCCACATGTGGGTTCTATGGTGGACAGCACAGAAATACAGCATGTGCATCACTACAGAAGTCCCACCGGCCAGTGCTGCCCACAAGGGGTGAGGGGCTGCATGGAGACGACCACACTATAGGGCCAGGACTAGGGCCAAGCAAACCTGGCCAGGAATAAACACTCAGGTATCTCAGTCACCCCTTTCTGTGCCCTATTTCGCCACCCCCCCTCCAGCCTATCCCTTATCATTTCCCTTAAGTTATCTTTTCCTATCAAGAGCTCCTCTTCCTGTTTTCTAAAGTTTTATTTATTTACTTCTCCCATGAGAGAGAGATACAGAGAGAGGTAGGGAGGCACTCCCAACAGGGTCTTCACACCGTGATCCAACCCCAACTTCAGCCAGCTCAGATCACGGGCACCAGTACACCCATTTGCTAGGAAGCCCTGAGACATGAACCCAGAACCTTCCTATGTGGGTCCGGTTGCATTAACATGGCACCACCATTGGGCCCCCTCCAAAAAGAGTTTTGAAGAAACTTATGTTTTTCATCCTTTAAGGCGCCACTCAAAAATTCTCTGAGAAGCCTTCCCAGCCTATCTCAGGCCCTTGAAACCCACTTAGGCTTAACTCCCTTCTGCCCACCAGGCCATGGACTGTGCAGGAACCGTGCTGCATTCTTCACTGTATCCCAGTACTTAAGAGTGTCTAGCACACAGTAGGTGCTCAATAAGCCTGTGTCAAAAGATTAACTCAGAGCGTATGAACAAAGGCACGGTAATGCAAGTTCTGGCCAGATTTAATGCATGGGCTTTTCTAGGGGCTTTACTGGGGACAAGCCAATGGAATTAATATATGATAACTGCAGTACAGTGTCCAAACAGAGGAGGTATTTTCAGCAGAGGGGTCTCTCTGCCTTCTGATGGAGATGTGACTAGGTTGGAATTGCTGGGCTGTGGTGGATAGAATGTGAATTTTAAAGCCTTTAAGCAAGGCTCGGGGGGGTGGCTGGGGGGTTAGAGTTGGGGGGTTGGCAGTAGAGGGACACACAAACAGAAACAAAGCCCTGCTCCTTACCTGCCTTTCAAGAAGCCCTGAAAGGCCAGAGAATCTCAGCTGGCCTTCTCCCGGGCTT